CGCGAAATCCTAATCTTCTTCTTATATAAATAAATGTGCGCGCATCACGGAAAACCTACTGGATAAATTGAACCTTATTTAAAAAAAATTGCGATGTCTTCATTTAATATTAAGATATTAAAGTTTTAAGAAACAATGATTTTTATAAGCACTACGTGTTCGGTGATGTGTGTTTTCTTGCCGCAGAGAAGTTGGACAAATATATCAAGCAACGCGGGCGAAGTCACGGGTATCAGCTAGTATAATATACATATATTATACTAGCTGATATACGTTTATTATTGAATAAAGGGGTCCAGGTGGCAATGGCGCGCAGAGATCAGGCTTTCCAGAAATTTAAAAAGGATCGCTCTAAACAAAATTGGTGTAACTATAAATTGCTTAGTAACAGATGCATTCAGGTCGTACGAAATGCTAAACGCCGCTACATTCATGACAAAATAACTAATTCTTCACCCAGTGATGTGTAGAAACTCCTTGGATCTCTCGAAATTAATAAATCAAATTCCCCGGAATATGACTACTCTCTTAATTTGGATGACATTAATCGTCAATTAGTTTCTATTACTTCATTGCACCCTCAAGTCCGTTCTCAAGCTATTGCTTCTATAGAATCAATGCAGCCTCTTCGGATCTCCGACTTTTGTTTCACCTCTGTTACTCAGGATGAAATAAAAAAGTTCTGTTAGCCATTAAATCCAAGGCTGTGGGTTATGATGCAATGAGTAAGCAAAAGATATCTATAATACTTTAGTACATACTTCTAGTTATAACACACATTATAAATTATTTTCTTGACTTGACTTTACTGTGGAACAGCTTGACTCAGGTCAATGCCCTTCTGCATGGAAAAAGGCTTTTGTACGACCCCTTCCTAAAATACCTAATCCTGTATTCCCTAACCATTTTCGTCCTATCTCAATTTTCCCATACCTCTCTAAAGTTCTGAAAGCCTGTGTTTTGCAAATATCTATGTTCATTGCAAAACATAACTTCCTGAATGAATTTCAATCGGGGTTTCGCTCTGGTCACAGCACTACCACTTCGCTTATCAAAGTCACAGACGATATAAGAAAAGGCTTGGATGAGCAGAAATTAACAGTGGCAGCGCTTATTGACTTTTCAAACCCTTTCAACACAGTAGATCATGGTATCCTCCTATCTATCCTCAAACACCTTAAATTTGCATCCCCAACCTTGGTGTGGTTCTTTTCTTAAATTCGCGGCTGCCAGCAATCGGTTCGTTCAGGTCAGTATTTTTCTGCATAGGCTGAAATTGAATCTAGTTTGCCACAAGGCGGAATACTTTCTCCTATTATGTTTTCCTTATTTATAAACTCTATCTCCTCAGTTTTAAATTGTTCGTACCATCTGTATGCGGATAATCTTCAGCTCTATTGTGCAGTCAGACTTAAATAATCTTAACTTTGTAATACATAAACTAAATAATAAACTGGAAGCCATAAGAGAATGATCGTGTAAATATGGCGTTTCAGTTAATCCAGCCAAATGCAAAGTCATAATCTTCAGAAGTTCACAATTATTGGCTAAGATTGATTATGGAAATCTCCCTCCTGTAATTTATAATGGAACTTTGATTCCATATTGTGATTCCATAAAAAATCTTGGCTTGTGTATGAACAAAACTATGACCTGTAAATCGCAGATCTCTGAAGTAAGTTGTAAAGTTGTAGCCACCTTGCGTTCCCTTTGTCGTCTTAAAAATTTCCTACCTTTCAAAACCAAGCTTACGCTAGTTGAACCCCTCATTCTACCTATTATAGATTATGCAGATGTATGTTACCCAGATTTGTCACAAAATCTTCTAAACAAGTTGGAGCGCCTTCTTAATAATTCCAGAAGGTTTATTTTCGGTTTACGTAAGTATGACCACATATCTTCCTTTCGTTCAAAGCTTAAATGGCTACCTATACGTCAAAGGCGATGCTTTAGAATTTTACTTGCACTTTATTCAATTTTAAGCGATCCAAAGTCGCCTTCTTATCTTAAGGATAACTTTCATTTTCTTCATTCGATTGACGGTCGAATACCACGACAATCAAACCGTCTGAGGATAAGGTTTCCACAGCATAGGTCTAATTTTTTGCTATGCATCTTTGGAACACCCTCCCCGATGATATTAAGAATGCTACAAATAGAAACTCCTTTAAATCACTACTACGACAACATTACCTGACATTTTTTTTTCAAATATTTATTTATTTATATTTTAATACGCATTAATATAACGGAATAATATTTATTTATATATACCTATGGAGAGGGCATATTCCACTATAGAAATAATAGTCATACAAATATCTATAATATCGACACACACTTGTCAAAAACAGTTTGTCTCTTTTTAACAAAGCAGTAGCTGCAATAGAAAAGAGAGACATCTACAGTTTGTAAAGTGCTTATTTTGGTAATACTTTCGTGTGACGTCATTAGCTTAGCCTTGCGTGACTGCGCCGCCATGTTAAGCGCCAAGTTTTGAGGTAGATCTGCTGTCAAACTGTCAAAAAAGCAGTGAAACAGTCTCGTACACTCTTATCCATGGTGTCGATAGAAATTACTTCAATAAATTAATTTTGTTCAGAAATGAATATATATTAATAATAATAATAGTTTATAAATTCTGGATATCATATTTCATCCACCGTTTCATGATCATGCCAGATTTTCGAATTTTAAATGAACAAAATTAATGTACCTGCGAAAATAGAAAAATAATAATATTTTTCATTTAAAATCTGAATAAAAAAATTAAATATGATATCCGGCAGGACCGAACGTTCCTATATATCTGTACACGCCCCGAGCTGCCCCAACAAAGGTAGACTGGACTAGGGCCTATCAGTAGTCCTATCGACGGGCAGCAGAGGACGGGGCCCAACGGCCTGTGGACAATTGACCTACACAATAGAGATAAGGCTAGGTAAATAAATAGTACGTATCTGGATCCGAAGCTAAGACCGCCCCAAGGCTCGGTCAGGCCGTAGGTAGGTGCAGGTACATGTAAGTAGTGTATTGTAGTGTGTATGATGTTTGACCAGACTTAACCGTTGAAGTCGGAATGCAGCTCCAGCGTTGCTTCTCTCCAAAGGTGGTAGTCACTTAGTCCGACCTCAAGTCTGACGTCACTTCACTATTTCAGTTTATCAACTTTATTGTGCACATAATTAACTTCAAACTCAACTAAATCCCCGTTAATCGTAATCAAAAAAGTAACACACGGCACGACTAATAAACGGTGGATCAAAGTTCACTTCCGTTTCACGTAGCAACAAGATTATAACCACGAACAAGAACGCGGTCTCTTCTCGAGTCACAAAGTTCAGCGTTACAAACGACAAACTAAATTACTTCGTACGATATTAAATACTACGCCCGCATTAAGATTCAAAGTCAGCCTAGCGACACTAATTAGAGGTTATACGGGACGACCTCACGCCGTGTTAGTCACAAGCTATAACTTAGACAAGCTAATCCGAGGCGGTCTTCACGAAACCACGAATTCCATAGCGAATTCAACGCGCACAAATACTAAAAATCTAGACCATAAAACCAAAAAAAAATGGTCGCGCGAAATATATGCAGCGGTCACCAAAATACGCTAATCGACCGCATCGCTGCTCTCAAGCTACTGTTCATAAACCGGTACGAATCCACCGAGCCGAGCGCCCTCTGGCATCAAATCTTGAACCTAACGTTTGGCGCGAACAATATCAATTAATAATAAATAAGTTTTGATTTTAAAAACAGATTATTTAATTTTTACTCAACTAATCATTATTATTTTATATTAAAAATACTATAATATGGGATTACAATATGGAATCAAAGAACACCATCCCATCTCCATACATATGTTTACTGTACAATATTATCGTACAGTAAACAAAAGTATTTGGTATACAAGCAAAAATATTCATTTTCCCTCTACTCTGTCAATATTAATTTTTATTGTGTGCGTTATAACTTTTTAACTTTGTTCACATTGATGTAAAACAAAACGTGTGTGTGTACTTATGTACGCACGTAAGAAGTTATACTTCTTTGGCGTAACAAAACAAAAATAACTAAAATAAAACACGTTTTATACATTCATATATATTTGAATAACTACCTCGAATATAGTTATCAGTTCTCAGGAAAACTTATAATTGACAGACAATTACCAATTGAAGTTATAAAAAATTCACTAACATCATTTTTCTCAAACGCGCCAAAAGAAGTATAACTTCAAAACTTGAGTAAGCACTTAGCAAACTCAGAACATTGTTTAAAACAAGTTGCAAGTTAGCTACCTGCATACTTAACTCATTGTTTGACTGTGTACCTAACACAAAAAATCTGTAGCAGACTGTGCATTGCGTAAGGGTACATATGCGGTGAAGCCTCGTGAAGCAGCTCAAACGAAATTTAAGGGATAGCAATAACAATCCAACAATATCCATTGCTTCATGTGATTGAAAAATTCGTTTGCTCGACAACAAAAACCATGCAATGGATGTTGTTAAACTGTCAAATTGATATGGTTTGCCATTTTAGGTGTGTTACGCAATTAGGCTATGGATTTAATTTTTATAATTGTATGAAATAAGAACAAACTCATATTAGTAAAAATATCGATGTCAGCTGCCCATATTGCTGAGTTACAACCCTATAAAAGGCGGCCATTTTATGGGCCATTATTGTTTAGGTAGTCACGCTAATTCTTTTGGTATGCCCAGTCCATATATTTCTAAGTCAGTGTATAGGACAGTTACTATACTCTTTGATAGTGTTTTACGGCGTACCTCTTAATAAGAAGCTAATAAACCTATTTTACTTTTTTATTAATAAGACTGTATTAGCTTGCTACATATATATTTATCTATGGACTGTATATCTATGGATGAGTGGGATATGCCGAGCAAAGAGAATATAACCACTATGCCGAGTGCTCTATATTATCTATGATGCCAAGTGCCGACTGCCGAGTGCCGACTGCCGACGCTTGACAGATTAAATTTACCCACTTTACCCTTACTATTTTATAGTAGATGTATTTGTATTTGATATATTTACATTTTTGTTAATTTTAGGTTCATTATCACACTAATTTAATATTTGTTTTCATTCCTACGAAATTTCTATGTATTGAATTGAATGTAAGCAAAAGCTAATTCGAAGATTTTGTAAACATTTTAGGTAAAAAACTGTTTGAAATTAATAGTTTCGGTTATGCCTGATAAACAAAATAATTTTGTTAATTTGATTTTCAGAGAAACAATGGCTGATGATATTGACATTGAAGAACATGATGTAATGGATAATCCTGTAATAAGAAACATTTTCCCGGATTTGTCTATATTGAAAAAGGAAGTTTTGGACGAGTACGATGAAAGTAAGTATAGTGCCTCTGATATTGAATTATCCCTTATTTATGATTCTGCTTTGAATAACCTTTTAGCTTTTAGCTGTGAATAAGCTTGAAAAATATAATCTATTTTGAAGGGGAGGGAGCGGGTTTTCCTGTGAAGGAAGGTTACATGGTAATAAGCATTTTTTAGAATCCCATGTGTGAAACTGAGAAAATTTGAGGGCATGAAGGGAAGCCCAGGGCGTATGCAGGGTATGACATATAAACATAAAGGGGTTAAACTTAAAATATTATTCAGCAACATAGAATTGTAATGTTTCTTTCTTAAACTTAATGTGATTGTGATTAGACTTGATGTCTTTACTTTTTATTGACAATTTTTTTTTTCACGATTTATCCTACCAGTCAGTTATGCCTATGTTATTAGCAGCAAAGGCGGTACGACTTTCCATTGACGTCAGTGGAGGTTGGTGTTGATACGTATTTTTACAGAAAGATTACACTATTATAAGCACACACACAAAGTCTCAATATACGGAAACGCGTAATTTTTGAGAAAAGAATAATTGAAAATCAATTATTCTTGCAATGTTTATGTCTAATCTGCTAATAAACTGGTGCCATTTTGTAATGTCATTGTCGACGTCAATAGGGATGTCGATTCTTTCCGAAAAAGGTCGATTTTTAAATCGATTCAAATCGTAAGCTGATGTATCGATTCCTAAAAAATCGATTTCTAAAATATCGATTTTTTTTCATGTTTGCATTTATAATGTAAATATAAATCCATTTTATGAGAAAAAAATCCCCTTCATCATAAAAAAATAAGGGGACTGATTCATACGGATTTCTGTATCTATTTTGAGACTGCTACATCTCCGGCGCTGCGGGAAGAGCAACCTCTACGCCTTAGCGTAACAAATCGCAGGCATCCCTCCTCGCCTCCGCAGCTTCGGCTTATTGGTCGCCTTCGGCGACCAGCCTCAGCCGCTCCGGCTCGTCCGATGCCTATGATTTGTTACAGCAGGCGGAGGCTGCTCCCCCTACGCGCCTCCGGCTCTATAAAACCACTCTAGGGGTAGGACAGACTCGTACCAGGTGGAGTCGGGGTCAATCAATTCGGTTCTTTGACATAAGTTGAACCTAACCTATTTTATTTATCTGCCCTAATAGGTACTGTTAAATAAAACAAATTTCAATAAGAGATCTTTTATCATGGTATCTTTCTTGTTTTTCATAAAATGGGTTTATATTTACATTATAAATAGAAACATTAAAAAAATATAGACATTTTAGAAATCGATTTTTTGTGAACCGATACATCACCTTACGATTTGAATCGATTTAAAAATCGACCTTTTTCGGAAAGAATCGACATCCCTATTGACGTCGACAATGACATTACAAAATGGCGCCAGTTTATTAGCAAATTAGACGTAAACATTGCAAGAATAATTGATTTTCAATTATTCTTTTCTCAAAAATTACGTGTTTCCGTATATTGAGACATTGTGTGTGTGCTTATAATAGTGTAATCTTTCTGTAAAAATACGTATCAACACCAAACTCCACTGACGTCAATGGAAAGCTAAGCCGCAAAGGCTATATCTAAAACTCCGTGATTAGCTAGCTTTACAAAGGTTGTTTTACACCCAAAGTTGAAGCCTGTCCCTCTAGCTTCTAGCCTAACTCACTTTTTTTTAAATTGTTACTTTCCAAGGCTGTGTGGTGAGTATTTGCATCTAATCCTGTCATTCGTTTAGAGTTGCATTTTTGGATATTCTCCACTACTCACTCTAACTCAATAGTAGGATCTGACTTCTTGAGGGGAAGATAAGCTGAGTAAATTATTACTCAGGCCCCTGTATTTCCATTGAGATTTATGAAAGCTTTTACTAGATCATTACTGCAGTACTGTGGAACAGCTTGGAGTTCAATATTTTATTGTATATTATATTATAAATGCTCTAGGCCTGTTGTAGGATTATCAGTTCATTAATTACTTAATGCTTTTGTATGAGGCAATGTCAATGTTAACCTCTATAAAGCAACACTACACCACAGCAGATGCAGATTATTTTTTAAATATTAATATAAGCCAGCCTTCAATCAACAATACCAACTAGATAACGAATCATGTACAAAATTATAGTTAAATGCTGTCCATGTGAATATATACTTATACAGCTACATTTGTTTACTAAAGAACTGAGACAAAAAATTAAAACAGTTTTATGTTCATCCCAATTACAACCATGGCATCTAATAATAAAGTCACAAATATTACAACCATTTAGTTACAAAAGAGGAACAAATCAATGCATTACTCCTGTCACTTGGAAATGAATTTGTGTTAAACACTAAAATAATTTATAATATGATCATAAGTTTAGTTAAAATTATTTATGTTCTGGGCATTTATCTGTGTTGGTATACATACTTTCCACACTAGCCATTAAATATAATATAGTATGTAGTAGAATGATTGGATTTAATTAGATAATTCAATATATATTTATTTTAGTTTTTGTATGTATATATTCTGCTTTGTGGCATTCCTTGGGGGAGGCCTATGTTCAGCAGTGGAGTTGTGAAGGGCTGTAATGATGATGATGATGTACATATGTTTGTAGTATATTGTTGCGAGCCACTATTAATGTCTTGTATATGGCAACACTAGTTCCCACTAGCGCCCTCTAGTGTCGAGTAGCAGAACTAGGAGAGTCATGATCCTTCTAGAAATTTCGGGACCGATATGTACTCAACATTCTAGATGTAGCTACAGTAGAAGGTTCTGGAAACTATCTGAGGCCCTATATAAGGCTGGTATAGACCACAACTGAGTCAGTATTGAATTGGCGATACAAGAGAATACTTCGAAGTGAAACAATTGCGAACTTAAGTGATCAGTAGTACAAGTGTGTTTTATTATTAGTGTGGTTTTAGATTGTAATTAGTGTAGTGTAATTAAAGTGTCAATTTTGGTAATTCAATCGACAGTTTTTAATTGTCTCGAACCCCAAGCTTGTAACAATTGGTGTCAGAAGTGGGATCAAATATGCCGATTTTACCTAAAGACGACACGGAGGGTATCCGTACCCGAAGTCAACGCCAACAGGAGACGGACCAGAGACGATTTGGTAATGCAACGCCGCAAACGTCAAAGAGCCAGCTGCTAACCACGGAGTCCGGCCCGTCAGCAGCTCCTGCATCTGCAGCACCTGACTTAGGTGCTCTGATGATGATGCTACAGGATCAGGCTCGCAGACAGGAGGAACAGGCCCGCCGATATGAGGAACAGGCTCGCCGACAGGAGGAACAGATCCGTCGGTTAGAAGAGCAGCTACAGCGCGGTATGGAAGAGCAGTTACTCCTCAGAAAGGACCTTTACGCTACCTTCGGGAAAGAGATAAAGGAGGTGAAGGATAGGGTTGCTCAACATGACAACCGCCTGTTGGAAGCTGAAACCCGAATCGACCAAGTGAACAATGGGGTTGACAATGTGATGATTGCCGTGAAGAAAACGCTGGACGACCTCAAAATTGGGGGTGGAGTTACAGCTCTCGTGGTAGTTACAACACCTTCGCTACGTGGATTCAAAGTGCCGCCGTTCGACGGGACTTCTTCCTGGTCGGCATACAAAATCCCATTCGAGGCTGTCATGAAGGCGAACGGCTGGAATAAAAGTCAGGCCATGACTGCTCTCACCCTAGGCCTGCGCGACCAGGCCTTAACTGTTCTGGAAGCTCTCGGTAAGGAAGTGACTTACGAGCAGCTCCTTGAGGCATTGGAGGCGCGATGTGCCGACGAATGTACGATGACGGATGTACCTGCGCTCATTGTAGGGCACCTGGTGCAGACATTCATCGACGGCATCCGCGACCTTGAAGTCAGAGCTGCTGTGAGGCTCGGGCACCACGAGACGCTTAAGGATGCCTTGACCCATGCACTGGAGGTGGAAGCCGTACGGCAGGATCATCGTTCCCATCGCGTCAGGGAGGTTGCAGCAGCTACAGTTCGGGACCGCAATAACGGCTACCGCCCTAGGTGCTACGGCTGTGGGGAAAGGGGCCATCTTCGATCCAGCTGCCCTAAGCGAACTGTAGAAAGGGAAGGTGATCGATCTCGAGAGGGTAGTGCGGCTAATAGTACCGCCCAGCAGCAGCAGAGAAACGAGTAAAAGCCAGGACTGCGGGGTGATGTTAAAAGAGCCCCAAGGATTTCGATCTCACAAACCCATGATGGGAACAGCCTAATCATCAAGGGTGAAGTCAACGGAACACCGTGTAAACTGACCATAGACACTGGAGCCTCTCGCACGGTTGTCAGTTCCCAACTTATAAGTCGGTTCCTTGGGGACTCCGCATACAACCGAGAACGCATTAATTTGGTGACAGCCACCGGTCAGCGCATACCCGTCCGTGGAGAGAAGGAGATGGAGTTGAAGCTAGGCAACATGATCTACCTGCATAATGTCATCGTGGCTGATATAATGGACGACTGCATCCTGGGCCTAGACTTTATGACGAAGAATTGTTGTGAGATCGACGTTAAGCAAGGTGTTTTGAAATGTGGACAAGAGGAACTTTACGTGGAAGGGGCGTTACCAGGAAATGTGTACAGCCTTAAGAAGATTGTTCTTCCGCCGAGATCGGAAATGATTGTGCCGCTTAGACTTCCTCGGAATCCTGGGCAAACTCTTCGTTGTGTACTCGTGGAAAGGGTAAACAATGACCTTCCATGGAAAGTGGCTCGAACCTTGGTCAGAACCGCCGACATCTCAGGAGTACGTGTGCTGAACCTTTGTGATCAGGAACAGATTATAGAAAAAGGCACATTGGTTGGTACTAGCGAGGAAGTGAATTGGTTGCGTCGGTGCCAATATCTATCGACTGGGATCCCCAGCAAGGATGGCCAAACGAGAGTGACCACACTTTTAGAAGACTGTCGCAGCGTTCTGCCCCCGAATGAAATGGTCAAGGCGAAGAAGTTGTTACTCAAGTACGCCAATGTTTTCTCGTCCA